AAGGTATGTTCCATTTCATAATTCAATTGCTCGGCAGTCTGCTGTTTGAAGTATAGTATTATGCAACACAGGAAATATATCTGTGCCTATATAAAAAAATTGGTTCTCAGTTACGGAACATAATACAATTTTCTTCCTTGTGGAAAAACTAGAACATGTTAAGAGATACTAATAAAGAACGAAAACTACGGCACCTAATAGATATTCTGTGCATACCATCTCCAATTTTTTATTTCGTTATCACAACCATTCACACTGAACAAATTGTGTGTGTGTGTGTACATTTCAGCAACTTAATTTTCATTTCCATTCAGATGCAATAAACTTTAGAAGTATAATGTACACTTCTGACTTACACAGCTGAATATATACTGCATTCCAATGTTTTTCCCTAACAATATTCAGCATTTTGTTAAATTGTTTTTCTTAATGGACTTTACCATTGTAAAGGTATTATTTTTTTGGAAGTTGGTTCTACTTCTATTGTCCAGTGAAAGAACAGAATACCTACCACATTTGCAATAAATAAACAAGAACTTCACAACCTGCACTGAATTAGTGGCCGAGTATAAACAAACATTTTAAATGGCTGCACGGGTTGTTAGTCAGACATTCCCAGTAACTGGAAGCCTTCAGAAGTATTTGCCCATGGCAATCACTTACCAGAGGTGTGGGAAAGAGGGAAGGTGCTGGAGGGGGTGGCAGTATTGGCGCTGTATGTTGGTGTACATGTGTATGCTGATGTTGATGGTGATGCATCTCAGTGCGCAGGTATGGTGGCGGCCCTACATTTAATGTACGATCCTGCGATGCCAGAAACCTGCTGTCTAACTCCCGACGCAACATGTCTGCCTGGTCTGCAATCAGCATCATTACATTACAACCCTCTAATTTCACATTAACATTCTAATGGGCACTCCACTAACATTTAATGAATTACAGAAACAGACACACACTTGCATCACATATTCTTTGCTATTTAATTACAATACAGGATAGTACAAACAATAAACCTGTTGCCAGTACAACAGAAGTAATATTATATCAATGAGAGATGGCAAAAGGTGGTACCTAACTTAAAGACAAAGCATAATTTCACATGGGGCAAACAAATATATTCACATATGAAATTTTAAATACACTTACTACATGGTTATAGAAACTGCCCTTGATAATAAATCAAGTACCAGATAAGGGAGTTGCAATGCATATTACCTGTCTGTCATGTCACTGAGGGGTACAATGTAAATGTCCTGTGTGCCATGTAAAACACAGGCTTCACAGAAAGAGAACCCCATCTTTTTCTACTCGAGATATAAATTGTAGGGCATGTATTAGTATGTACATTTCTTTTACTTACTTGACTGGAAGAGTGACTCTGCTGAGAAGGGGTTAGGGTTGGCAGCTGGTGGCAGGCTCAAAGGACTGGCTGTTGCAGCAGAGGGTGGAAGTGGAGGTGCAAACATTGGTGGAGGAAATGGATGTGTTGTGGGATGCAGTGGATGAGTGGCTGGAAGTGGCACAGGAGGGGGCGTTGGTCGTGGCACCGATGCTGCAGGTGACAGTTGCTGCCCACTTGAACTGAAAAAATACAGAAACAGAAGAATGATCAGCCAGTCACAAACGAACCTTTCGTACTAGGATGTGCATACAAAATAACTTAGAATATCTATCTATAATTATGAGCTCACAACATACCAGTCATTCATATTTCCTGCAATGACATGATATATGAATATATTCTATGGGTTGTGATACCCAAATACCACTACTGATGACATCTTCACTACTGTGAGAACCTGAAATCTCAGATGTTAAAAAGACTTGTATGACAAGAGTGGAAATACTCCAATTTGGGGTACACCTATTTTCCAAATATCTTCTCTGCAATTGTGCACCTCTGATTTTCATAGCAGACAGAAATCACACTCAGCTATTCAACAGTAGATCTGTACCACATATAGGTAAAATTTCTTCATTTTTCTATATCTTTAAATATACATTATATGAAACTGTCCCAAATTAGAGTTATAGATCTTAATGAGATCTACATTTTATGTTTTTTGTATCATATACTGCTTTCAGGAAATGTGATATTCAAGTTCATGGCCAAATTATGGTCACCAATGTCACTGTACAGCGCAAACACCAGATTTAAGTGAATTCTGATGGACGTGGACATAAAACATTAACATAACCTCTCCATTATGCATTCATTTCATACACTTGAGCAAAGTATGTATGACAGAGCACAGGTTTTCAACAGAAAATATTTGCCTTTTCATGCGTTGCAAATTAAAATTGTACAAACCTGCCCCATGATGGTGTTTTGGAGAACGCGAGACTAGAAGACACAACAGCTGGAGCTGGCGCTTGGGATGAACTGAAGGGAGACGAGTTACTCGTGATTACGCAACTACTAGACAATGTTGCCACACTCACAGGGGTGATACTGCTTCGGCTTAGGCTACTTACGTTACTGCTGCAAATATACCACAAACAAAAGTGTCAAAACACCACATCGAGGTTACCTGCAATAATGTATTTGCTCATAAAATGAATATTGATTATGAGGATTTTCACTGTAATTAATACAAACTGATAATGGTGATACAGTGAAACCTGCCTGTAGCACAGTCTCAAGGAACCTGAACATTCTTTCACTTCCTAAAGCTCAATATGTCTTTTAATTCACAACTATTACATTTTATCCTTTCAAAGTTCCACACCTTCCACCTTGTTTTCATATATAATCATCTAAATCAACGCCTAATTAAAAACCTTTACACACCATAACTATACTCAAACATGTTTTCAGTGTAACACGTGCATGCAGGCGTGCACACGCTCACACACAAACACACAGCAAATTGTAACTGCAAACCATGCTCCTCACAGTTATTATTATTAGTATTATGATGTATTGATGTTGTTTTTGTAATGTATTATTATTATTACTTAATTTCAATGTAAAATAAAGATAGTACAGTAAAGTGTATAAAGTGCAGCTGGGGCATGACACTGACCACTCGCCCCCATCTAGTGCTGAGGTTAAGAATGTACATTAGCTATACTTCCTCTCCCCCAAGCAGCTACGTGGAGTATAGTGGGACAGCTTAATTTACAGTACATGCATATAAACACTGTGTTTCATAACTTATTCTTTCCATTTACATTTCAATGTGCTTTTCACCTCAACCTTGCAGACCATTACCTAGCACGGACAGCTCTTCTCCCCAAACCTCAAGGTTTCAATGTATTTATTATCACACTGTAAAGTCAGTATCACTGGTCCTCTGAATCTTACTACTTTATAACATTCAAAAATCCATACATAATCAGTTAAACTTCTGAAATTAAAGTGGTTTGATTTCTTTCATTTCAATTATTTCTGAAACATTACGCTTACATAAATACTTCAAAGCAAGCAAATGCAAACTACAGTATTTTGACACTGTCAATTCTAACAAGAGCTGGTGTCCCTACCTATAACTGTCCCTTTCTCTGTTTGGACTGTGGCCCCTTGGTGAATGACTCCGACCAACTACAGGTGTTGTCACAATGTCTCTGTGGCTTGTTGTTGTGGTTGTCACAACTACAGCTGTTGCTGTTGTCACTGTTGGTGCTGTCGTTGTGGTGGCAATAGGTGCTGAAGCTGTGGAAGAATGCAAAGTGTTTCTTAACCACTATTTTGCCATTCTAAAACCATGTCAGAATATAGCAGAGCATGATATTCAAGTAAAGAAAATCAGATACTTGTTATGCTGATATCATAACCCTATTTATTTATGTATTTATTTATTTATTTATTTGACAATGTTGGCTGTAATTAGCTCAGACTATAAAGTGTTGATTGGCTGCAATGCTGAATTTGATTCTCTTACACTTGGTTGTAATGTTCTGTCCAACTCTTTCAAGTTTCTGAGAGATACCAGCATGGATAATTGGATGACAGCCGAAAGCTTTTCAGATATTCTAGAATGGGTGTTTCAAAGTTGTACATACAAACAAGACAAATGTATGCACATGCACTCATATCCACACACACATACATGCACATAACTACAGAGAAAGAAATCAACCATTCCAGATAATGCAGTAAAAGGAAATGAACCATCAGCGAAACCAAGTCGTCAAGATGAGATTTGAAGGCAGTGAAGATTTTGCAGTTGGTCATCTGGGTTGTAATATTGTGTGGATTTATAGATAGATATCAACGTTTTTGAGGAGCATACTGTCTCCATCTTCAGGGATGAGGTGCAGCCTTGAAGATGGAGACAAGAAACCTATAAGCTGAAGAGAAGCAGAAAATAACAAGGAGATGAAAGTACTGAAAGTAAAATCATAACTGTGCCATCTCTTAGCATGTGTATGAATTGCATGCAAGAGAAAACCAGCCCCTAAGCATTGGTCGGATCAGATTACAACTCGGCAGGCTTAGTAGAATCTGCGCAGTGGCCCCACTGGTTAAAAAGTGGGGAGGAAAAGGTTAATAAGCAAACAAAATCTCCATCTCACCTACAGTTGTAACAGAAAACCACATTATAAATCTGCATCAGTTCATTATGTCCTCACCTGCAGTGGCGGGTGTTGTCACCGAGGGAATGGTTGAAGATCCACCAGAATGCTGTGGCTGCTTGGCAACGATAGGGCACGGTGATCTTGCAGACCTCTGCAAAATTCCAATGCATATGTAAGAACAGCAGGATACCATGTTGCATTAAGATCACAGAAAAAAATCTGAGCCATTTTTCACTGTGCGCCACGAGACCAGTGCCACCAATTATTTAAATTACCTTCAAGCTTTGGCAGCACTGCATAATCATGATGTATCCTAACACTGGTAAACTTCTACTAGACAACACGGTGCTAGAACCCAGAAGACAGCCATCTTCATACTTGCTGCTACAAGAACCTCAAATCCTACTCCCAATTTCTATTTGGAAGACGCAGAGGTTAAACCTTAAATGGCTGTTATGATAACTGGAGACTTTTGGTGTTTCCTTCGTCACTTCAGGCACATGCTGGGGGACTTGAAATATGCCACAACGTAAGACAAAGTTTGTGTGTGATGGAAATTTGATATTAATAAACACAACAGGACACAGAGGAAATATGATTAATGGGTTACAAACTGTTTGATTACAGACATGAGTCATTCCACACCCTCTGGAACTTATATATAACAGACTAAATAAATAAATTATATAATATACAATACAATATGACACCAATCACATCACCATGTAAAATCAGAGCATTCCAATCCACGTTAAATAACATATGAAGCTGCTAGTGTTGTCAAATAACAAAATCAGGCTTTAAAAATAGGTTAGGTTGGGTTAGGTTAATGTGTGTGGATAAATGACATATACTTGAAAGTTATTATATTTTATTTCAATAAATGACAACCTAACCTAAAAGTAAAGTAAAGTTTGTCCCACTATACGCCTTGTAGGCGTTTGGGGTGAGTGGAGGTATAGCTCCTCTCTTTCTTGACCTCGGCACTAGATGGGGGTGAGTGGTCAGCATCACGCCCCGGCCGGCTTTACCCCCGGGAAAGGACCCCGGTACCCATTGTAGAGGAGGCTG